AAATAACTTTACCGAAGGAAAATCCGTGCGCTACAACTTAGGAACCATGAAATAAATTTGATAAAAAACTCCCATTAAAAAACAATTAAGCCTTATCAATAAAAATCTTATATGTTCTGTATAAATAAATTACCGGGACGACAGTGACTTGTGACATATGATAAGGAAACACAAAATTAAAAAACAAATTCCTTTTGTTTCTAATTTTGTTATTTTTCACGTCTTGGACAAACAAATACGAAAGGTCGAAGATCCTACAACACTCCATCTTTTCATTAAAGGTCTCATCCGTTTTAATAGACATTTTTAATTTGTTTTGTATCTGGAAAGCCTGAATAAAAAAGGTCGTCTTCATCAGATTGTTGTTGGATCCAGAAAATGTGAAGAAGAATACAAAGGTGAAAAAACGTTTATTTTTTAATACATTGTTTTTTCTACACATGTGATAAGTTATAAAAACATATTTAAAAACTGCAAAGTATGCAACTCCAACTTCGATGTAACTTGTAATAAATATATAAAAGTATTTTTATTACTTTAAAAGAACTTATTTTTAGTAGTAAAATCGTATATTTTAACAAAATAGACAGAAGTTAGTACTGTTTTAAAATTTATTGCAAATTGAAAAATATTTTTATTGTGTAGTCTGAATTGGTAATAATAAGTTTATCACGTTACAATTTTCATTTGCATATACGTAAGATAAAGGATGATCCTAAGTATTTTATGGGACAACGTAAATTTTACTGTTTCGGCTTGACACGAAAGCACAAATGTGGTGACACGCTTCTAACTTTCTGTTTAAAGTAGTTTAAAACTCGCATGTTTGAGAGATGTGCGTGTTCATTGTCATGTTTCTTGACGTTCAAAACACGTGCTGTAGCGGTTTTGAAAACGCGTGTGCGTTTTGTAAAACTGATTTGTCACGACATCATTCACGTTACATGTCCGTCATGAAGATCAAAATAAACATTTGTCGTAGAGATCAATGTAAATTGACGGCGATCGTAAACTCCACTGACATGTAGCGCCCGACCAGCTTACAACCGGCAGTCGGACTATAGACTTTAAATGGGAAATTTCGACTACGAAAATCTCGGCCCATACATTAAATTTCAAAATTTCGGCTTCCTCACGACATAGGCTTTGACGAATTATGCATGCAGTCTGTGATAAAACCTCTGTGAAATAATGGCATTAATAAATATATAATAAGCATATTACAAAACAATAGAAGGAATTTGACTATTATTTTATTATGATAACATATAACAATAATTTTATCAAAAAGTAATAAATAATTAATTCTCTTCTATTGTTATGTAATGTTCTTTGTAAACAAATACGAAGAGACATTCTGTAAATGGTCATTTATGTGGCGAAATTACCGAAAATCGGAAGCCAGTTAGACCAATTGAGCCTAAGGGTGAATGACTAAATGTTAATATAAAGTTCTATATTTATCCAGAAGCGACATTAAAACACTTTCTTTCTTGATGGAAATCACTTCCACGACGCGCTTTTTATTTCTTTATTAATTTCATTAGTTTACAGTAGCTCTATCATTTCGGAACAGACTTTATTTGCAGAAAAATCATGTGTAGTGTGATTGTTGCTTTAAACTCCGATAACAGACAAAAGAATTTCTGACTTATGCAGAAGTTCACTAAATATGTACATGTTCGAAAAGATGTTTCAGTGATTACACTACAATTTTTATGTACTAAATTAATATTTATTTTCTATTTGTAAATAAAATATTGAAATTATTTTACCAAATNTAATAATAAGCGCAAAGCCCAAACGGTTAGCCGTTTGGGCTTTGCGCTTACATGAAAGTTTAAATTTGATACACAGGGTACTGTACGTCATGAGAACGTACACCAAGAAGGGATTTTTCCCCCGCGAGGGGAGGGAAAGGATTAAGGCTAAAGAACTCAGCTTCTAACTGCACTATTTTAGATGCGGTTTTTGCGTTTTTACAGAAAATCGAACATATTTTTTAAACCATATAAAATTTCTCTAATTAGTCTCGGAAGAGGGAGACCTAATTCTTGCACTCGGTGAAAACGGGTAAGATCGGCTATAATCAAATAATCTTAATCTTCGCTATCGTTACTTTTTGCCCGAGCAACACCGGGCTCATCCGCTAGTATATTTATAATATATAGAGGAGAAGGTGGTATTATGGAACCCCAATTATATTTTAGTGAATTGTAAACAAGGTATCCTAACTACACTTACATTTTTTGTGCGAAAAGTACTGATAACTAGTAAACTAAATGTTCCTAATTGGATTTTTCGATAGTGTAATTATAAGTATGGTTTTTGAAGGCTTTTGTACAAAAAGTCCGAAAGTAGGCTTAGAGAAAATCGGGTGGTAATATGGAACCTTACTGTATATTTTCAAAAAAATGCTTTAATGTAGCCAAAAACAAATAGGAAAGGACAACAAATGTTAAATAATTACCAAATTATTTACTCCAATGTATTTTATCGAAAAAATGCTTTTATAATAGCAAAATATGACTTCCATCAACAATATATATTCCAGCAGCTCTTTTTCGATATTCTCGGGAAGAATTGGCTTTCTACCTAGTGTTTTTTTCACAAATTTCTCTGGAGGAATGTCTGCTTGCAAAATAGAAAGTTCGGAGGAGTTGAGTTCCATATTACTGTAAAAGCACCAATGGGGTCCGTATTTCACGCATCGCCATCTGGAATTAACTTATGTCTGTCAAGACCAAAATTTAAAAGACGTGAACATCACATAGATTAATATGTACCCCTAAGTCTCTGGAACGGAATACATG